ACAACAGGAATGCACTGCCTCTTCATCTTTGAAGGATCTTATTTCCAAGTTTGGGTAAGGTGCTACTTTCACGAGGCTATCCTAATCTCCCCAGTGAAGGGTCCCTCCATCCTCAGTCTTCCTTGTGCTATACTGGACCACATGCTCTGGACTTACTCTCCCAACCCCAACTCATACTGGTAGGTCAGGTCCCCAGAATTTGACTATTAACATTCCCTCAGGGTTCAGTGGTAGCTCTGAGAGGCTGCGGTAGGGATAGGGAAGAAGGATATCTTTCTAATACCACAGCTTCGGAACTCTCCACCAGAATATTTCCCACCATAATTATCAGTTGTTATCAATTAATCAGCCAGATTTAACTAGCTTTTAGGAACAAGTATTTACTATGATGACATAGCTGATACAAAACAATTCCTCTCCCTACCCGCTCCCCCCCCCAAAAAAAGTTTGTAATGCACCCTCCCACAAGTACATACAGAATCCAGGGAAAAGTTGCCTCAAGTTTGGAGCACATTAATCAATCAACAAGCCTTTATTAAGCACCTCTATGTGCAGGTTGTTTGTCCTTTGTTCTCAAGGAGGACCATGACATGAGGAAGGTGATGACATGACTTGCAAGTGAATTGGATTGGGGGGTTGGGTGCTGTGCAAAGTCACCAGCCTCACTTTCTCCTGGGGAGCCATCTGGGTACAGTGGCAAGATACATATCAGGACAACTGGAGAGACTCCAGGTTACTGTGCTAAATGCTAGGGAAATGTCACAAAGAGATTCTGGAAGTCCTTTTCTCCCCTTCATGGGCTACTCAAGAAATTCCTCTTAGCTATGATTTCTGCTGGGCTCCTTTTAGAGCCCTGAATCTGCCTTTCCTCATCTCCCCCAGGCTATCCTCAACTCCCTGTGCAGATACTAATGCCAGGCACCGATGTCCCAAGGACAGTTTAGGAAAAGGAGAGCAAAGCTGAACAATTCATTCTCTGGCTTTGTATGGTAGCTAGTACACAGTAAGCACTCAATAAATGACTGCTGACTTGACAATTCTACCACTAAGCTGTGGATGCTCAAAGTCCTGATTCCAAATTAGTTTCCTGCTTTTGTACAAGTTCCACAACCAACCCAGACTTCTATATCACCAAGTTGAAAGGACTTGAGTCAACTGAGAGGTCCAGTTCACATCTCTGTTTGGTTGATTTCCATTGAGATGTGTTCTCACCTGACAACATACCTCTGTTTGGTTGATTTCCACTGAGATGCGTTCTCATCTGACAAGGGCTGTCATTTATTTTGAGTGGGGTAAAGTGATTTCACAGATTGACTCAATCAGTCTCTACTCTGACATTTTTATTTGTGGAGAGAAAAATGGCCTCAAACTCAGGAAGATCAGAGAGTAGGCTCAGTCCCTTTCTCTATCTGTACATGCCATCCTCTCTGTACTCCTCAAAATGGAAAATGTTTAAAGTTAAGGCAAGTTTCCTTTGTGTCTTTTTATCCCCTGCTGCTAACATAGTAAATTGCACATAGTAGGTATTTAATGAACACGGGTTGATTTAAATTGAATGGGACACAGGATAGGAATACAAGACTAAGACTCATTATTTATGAGGTTCAACAATGTAGTCAGTCAACAAGCATTGCAACAGTGACCATGGAAAATACAGCTCCCCTGGGCTGGACACACAGAGACCAAAAATGACAACTGGATACCGAAACATCTGTTGTGTGGTGAACTGAAGTGTGGCAACCAGAGTACAGAGGGGAGAAGAACTGCTGTAATGACATCCTGAAAGAGGTTCAAACAGTGTGCCATAGTTGTGGGCTGTTGGGAAATAGAAGAAGCAGACAAAACAGCCTAGAGCTGAAATTCTAAATAAAGGACAGCCACAAGTCTGAGCGTCAGCATCACAAGCAGGGATCAGCTTGGCAAATTCCTAAGTATTCATTCAAACATCCTTTTAAGCTCATGGTAAAAGCCACTGTCTATTGTACCATTTCTCAACATAAAGATTAGCAGTATGTGGATGTATATGCACACACACACAACCATTGGTTTCTCATGACTACAGGTTAAGTCCAAATTCCTTAGGCTGCTATCTATGGTTTCCCCTGATCTGACCCCACTCTACTCACCCAATCTCATCTCCTACTATACCCCAACACGAAGCATTCCCCAGGGCTAGACTTGTATCATCACTGTTCCTTGATCATTACCACTCTCATTTCCAGACATAAGATTTTCCTTTTGCTTTCTCTCTCCTTTTTTGCAACTTCAACACACAAATCTTCCTCTCTACCTATATAAATCTTAACTAGTCTTTAATGTATTGGTAAAATCCCATCTTACCCAGGGCCACTTTCACCTCATCATTATCTAAGCTTTTATAGCACTAATTCTAATATTTCATCATATAATTAGTTTATTGTTTCATTGGATTGTCTATTGGATTTGGGGAGCAAGAGCCACAGATTATATTTTTGTGTCACCTTCTGAAGATCTAAGCAGAGTAGGATGTACTTAATAAAAATTTGGTGAATAAATGAACTGAAATCTTGATAATTGCTCCAATTAGCCTGAACTGAGCCTAGGTATACATAAACATGTAAATATTTATAAATGTCTTCCCACTGGAACTGTAAAAAGAATGAAAGCTGGAGCTCAGCAAAATAGCGAAGGTCATTATTTCTACTGAGGCAATAAGAATTCCTTAGACTAAGTTTTCATGAAATAACACACATACACACAGAAATAGCATGTTTTTTTAAATTTAATACCTGTGTTTTCCTTTAAAAAAACTGCACACCTGTAGATGTGGTCAAACTTTTAATATAGGTGGCCAGACTTTTAAACACAGGTGCTAAAAATGTTCATTCCAATTACTGGTCAGTCTTGGATTGAGACTTTATTTCACTATGCAGAAAAATAGAAATAATATACCTGTGCCTCTCTGTGGAATCCTATCCTTTTTGGCACAATCCGTCCATAAAGAACATTTTATGTGTTTTATTTTCAAAGTGTTTTTTGATCTAAAATCATGAAATAAAATATTATCTAAGTTTCAAACTGTAAGCCTAATGTCCTTATTCATTTACTCATGATCTCAGTACTTAGCACAATGCCTGGCACATAGTAAGCATATAATAAATGCTTGTTGACTGACTGATACTGAAACTATTATAGTATTGGTTCAGATTATACTGAGCATCCATTATTGTAATCTGTATTTGTGTTTTATTTTCATCAATGTAGAATGTTTCTTGCTGTGCTTTTCAAGACCTGTAAAAGTATTTCAATGAATTAAAAAAAAGTAGAAAGCAAACAGATTTCAAATCTAATCTAATATACCCTTAAGGCTTTTCTACAGATATCTACATTGCAGTAATATATTAATCAATACCAATGTTTAACTGTAAAATGTAAAGTCAACTGATGAATACAATGTATCAAGGCAAAGGGAAAATCTAAAAATGTAGGGTGGTATGTATGTAGCTATATACAAATATGTATATACACAAAAATTTGTGCTATGTTAAAAGCATGCTCCTGTTTCTGATGAATATAATTTAGCCACAGTAGAGTTTAAAATAATTAAAGTAAAATACTATCAATTTTGAATTTCCTTTTTTATACATTTTTACCAAATACTAAATTCTCTATCAAACATACCAAAAATCCTTAAAATCGATAAGAAACCTATAAGTTTGTCACATCCTTTTCTTGAATCAAATTAATAAGTGACAACTGCTTATACTATATAGTATCATTAAAAAAAATCTTTGAAACTTTCATGGGCTATACAGAAAATGAACAGAACTATATGGGTTACAACATCTTCCTCTATATCTGGTCAACGCCAATAAGTGATCACCTGAATAGAACAATAATCCATCAAATATGAAAGGTGCCATTATTTTCTTAGCTTACAGCCCTAAATATCTGAACAATAACTTAAGAGAAAAATGACAAAAATGTCATGCAATTTAAACTAAGACTACATAAGTCAAAGAGTCCCTTTTTCCAATAAAGAAACATAAGGAAAAGGGACATTCACATCATTTGGTGTGTCTGCCCAAATATAACTTTCCACCATAATTAGTGCTTACTACCTCTTTGGGAGGAGCTAACCCCATGTGTCACTTCATGTAACAAGTGAACAAACAGTATAAATACACCAGGGTGATTGTCGAAAGGACAACTTCTGCACTTCTCACTGGAGTGGAGGTACACACTGAGGAAGACTGAAAAACAATCTGCTAAGAATCCTGGCATTCTGGTAGGTCTCTAATTTGACTCAAATTCATCCTGCATCCATTTTAACTTGCAAAGCATAAACTTTTAGGAATTGATATTTATTCTATACAGATAAACACCAAATTGTCCTGCCTCTAAAAATTATTTTGAAAGGTTCTACTAGTCTGTCTAAATTGAAATGAGGTTGACATGATTGTTAGAGCTAACTGGTTCTACTGCTGATTTAGTGTTATTTTGAAGCTTCTGCTCAACTCTATTTCAAAGATCAAGAAATGTTTAAAATGTCATGAGTTTGTCATTTGAAAGTTCTGTATTCAATGAAAGTGTCAAATGAGACACAGAAAGTCTCCCAATTTTCAACAATTATTCACCTTGAAAATAATTTCAAAATAAGATAGAAACTGGCCCTGTGATCCTATTGGTATACAAGCATACCTATGTATGGTGTGGGCCCCTTATATACAGATATATAATTTTAGTGAGCTGCTTACAGCACTGAGAGACTGTTTCAAAATACAACTAAGAAATATGCTTAGAAAACAAAGAAACATAAACTGCCATTAACTTGAGAAGTACATTCAATAGGATGCTAAGAAAGAAGCAGAGTAAACCTGAATGTACTAAAAATTAATCTGTGAAATGCCAAAAAACGGTAACATGGTCAAGACAACAAAACATGAAAATGTGTACATATGTGTGTGCATGTATGTATTTTACATATGTGTGTATATAAAATAATTCTTTTCTTTTTGCAGAATTAGTCTGGGAATATGCTGTTACAAATAGCCTTTTTGCTGCTAATCTCTCACTTTGCTCATGCTGGGTTTTACGCTGAACGATTCCAATCCCCTACGGGAATAAAGGGGCCACCACCCAATCCAAAGACACAGTTTTTCATTCCTTACACCATAAAGAGTAAAGGTAAGCCAAAATACCTCTCTGGTTTTACTAAGTAGTTGTTACTATCTTTAGGTAATTATGATGATTTTCTTCCTTTCTTGTTATTTCTACCTAAGAACTATTAACCCTATGATTGGTATCAATTGTTTTCAATTTCCTAAATGAACTCAGATTGTTAGTGATTTCTGAGAGAAGAAAGTTTACAGAATAGCATTAACAACCCTCACATACACAGTGGAAATGGCACAGGAATGTTATAAAACACTTAATATTTCTGAATTCTCCTGTTTGGATTTACTTTCCCAAATGACGCTGTGGCAAAAATAAGCATAGCTGTTTAAAAAAATTAATTAATTATCCAAAAAGATTCAACCAAAATATTTTTAACCAAAATGAATCACTCAACTTACAAATGAGAGAATGGTTAAGCTGAAGGTTTTAGATGCCTAAACAATTTTTTCACTAATTCACTTATTCATTCAACAAACATTTATTAAACCCTTCTTATATACCAGCCATTGTACTAGAAGCCAGGATATTAAGATAAAAACAAAGGCAAATATAATTCCTAAATTTGCTAAAAATCAGCTAACACCTGAACATATAACTGAATTTTCATAAGAAAAACTATTAGAAACTGTTTTAACTAACCTAAGGAAAGGGATTTAATATGCAAACTAGTTAGCAACATTAAACATTGGTTATTCATTCAAAAAGATTGACATTCTTTACAAATGTCATAATCTTTACATAATTCTGATAACTAATACATGCTATAATTAACATCCACTAAGCTTCTAACACAAATTTCAGGTGCCCTATGTCCTTTCACCTGAATATTGACAAGTTTAATATTTCGTTTTGTCACACATCCTATAAGAAGGTTACCTCAAGTAAAATGTCAATCAATACCATCACAAATAACAAAATATATTGAAACATTTAATATGAAAGTATAAAATGATATATTAAAATGTTTAATATGGAAGATAAAATTGTCTAAAATCATTTTGGTTCAATAATATGTACTTATTCATTCAATGCCATTAAAAAAACCTATTAGAAAATGTCCAAAATACTTACTATAGGGTAAGACAGACCCTTCCCCTCCCCCCAAAAATAGAATTAACTCATTTTTTCCTTATTTAATAACACTTTTTGGTATAACCCAAGTTTTGGCTATTTGTTATGACAATCAAATCCTGTTCTTCCTGTTTGAAAGCTAGTTCTCCCTACTTCATGATGCTGCCTCTCATTCAATTGGAAGCAATCTTTTCGAACACATTACAAACAATGTAAAGGGATTTTGTTCTCAAGAAGCCCAACTATGAAGTTGGTGTTTCTTTCTCTTCCAGTAATGGAAGCTTACATCTTTATAAAACAAATCCATTTGCTTAATAAGCCCCTCTGTGACTCCAGAATAACATACTGCAAGATTTTAGGGGCTTTACTCAATGAAAAGTATTTGTCACTCTCTCTAATAAATACACACTCTATGTTCAATTAGAGGTAACGGTTTTTTTTTTCCATATTGACATTTCCTGCATGTTTTGGGGAAAAAGGAAAACTCTACTTAAAAACAGCATTTTCTTTTAAAAATAATAAATATTTATAACATGTGTCCCTCATGGGGGTGATGTTATAGGATAAGGAGATGAACAGGATTAATTATACCACTGAGAGAAGAAAATCCTAGCTAAGAAAACTCTCTCTACCCAATGCGACTCAGCATTTGATCTAGTCTAAAAGAGTCACCTACAGCACCAGAGAGATCAAGTAACTTGCTTAGGGTCACACAGTCCATATCAAAGGAGGGACCTGAACTGAGGTCTTCTTTCTTGACTTTAAGAACAGATCTTTATCCACTACAGCAAAATGCCTCTTAGAAGGGTAGAGTTATAATGGAAAAAGGAAGGAAGGAAGGAAGGAAGGAAGGAAGGAAGGAAGGAAGGAAGGAAGGAAGGAAGGAAGGAAGGAGGGAGGGAGGGAGGGAGCGGGGAGGGACCAAAGAGGAAAGGGAAGAGAGAAAGAGAGAGAGAGAAAAAAAAAAGCCATTTTTACTTTTGTAATTTGAGGTAACAGAATTTGAGTTAGTTTCAAAATTTTGTTAACTTTGAAATAAACACCCGACCTTGTTTTATTATGAAGTTGACTTAGATTCGAACAAAGCTTATGAGTTTGACTATTACCCAAAACTCAAAGTGAAAATTAAAGAACACTGTAACATACTTAAGGCCATTAAAGATAGTCATGCCAGTATAAAATATTGTCAGCTTACTTTTAAAAATTGGAAAGTCATCTAGCTCTCTATCACTTTTTAAAATATTAATATTGAACAGCTACAGAAGCAAGAAGGCAGTGTGGCTCAGTGGACAGAAAGCTGACTTCAAAGCCTAGAAGGCCTCAGTTTAAGTCTTGCCTCTTACATAGACATGCTGTGTGATCCTCTGCAGCTCTTTTAGTCTTTCTGTGCTCTAGTCAACTCTAAGACTAGGTACCATGCCACATCACTGTACTGGGATATTTTAGGTAAATAAAGTCTCTGCGGGGGTTTCTTTTGTTCCTTTTACTTTTTTTTTTTTTAATTCTTCCCTTATTTAAAACATCACGCCTAAGGGAAATATAATGCTTGACCTGCATTGTTTTGTGAACTTCACTGCCAGGGCACTACTGCATTAACATTCCATCCATGGCAACACGTGCTCAGTTTGAGCCCTGCCTTGCTTCAGAAGACATAAAAGGCTCAATTCTTTTTTTTATGTAGACAAAAATCTTCCTACTGAAAAAAAGAAATCAACAAAAGGTTACATTTGGTGGGTTAAGTCTTGGAGGGATGGAAGTAGGGAATCTTTTCAAGGGTCTTGTTTCATGGTATGGAGAAGTAAGACAGTTGATTTTAAGCTTCATTTTCATTTTTCTTTTTTTGTAAATAGAATTTTATTTTTTCTTATTACATGTAAAGATTTTCCTCATTTTTAAAAAAAAGGTCTATTTGATAATGTCCAGAATTAAAAAACAAACAAAAAACAGAGTAATAGAGAAGGTTTGGTTTGGAAAAAGAATGGCTAGAATTAGGGACTGTTTTTCTGTCAGGTGTGGCAGCAGATAAAAGTGAAGTTAAACCAGCTCTCATCTAGGTCAAAAGTGATGTGCTTTACAATGATTCCAGATGGAAAAAATAACAATAGGGAAAGCTGGTGAGATGCCATCATAGAAAATGGGCCTGGGTGGAGGAGAAATAGGAATGTGTAATTCTCATCATATGCCATCTAGTTGCCACAAACTTGACATTCTGCTTTGCTACATGTCCTGCATGTGTTAAAAGTTAGTGATTCCATTCTACCAATCCATGATAAAACATACTCTCCCAGGCATTTCACCACTGATAGTGCATTCCAGAGAAATAAATGTTACTTTCTCTTCTTCCCTGAAACCGCTATTCTACATTGATTCCACTTTTAAGGGAGAGAAATTAATTAAATTTTTTAAAATAAAAAATTTACTACCTAAAGACAGTGCCTTTTCATTGATTTAGATAGTTATTGATTTTTCTCTCTTAAACTCTTTTCATAATAACAGCTCTTATATTTATGAAGAGCTTTAAGGTTTACCAAAATACATTTTTCACAACATTACTGTGAGGTATGGAATTAAAGAATTACTCTTCCCACTTGACAGATGATAAAAATGAGGTAAACAGCCACATGCCCATGGTGACATAGCTAGTGTCAAAGGCAGGACTTTAACAGGGGTTTTTTGAACCTCAAATTAATACTTGTTTTATTAGACTACACTTTTCATGATGTAAATGATTTTTTCCAATTTACCAATTGGATTTTTCTTTATTCTACTGCCCTAACAGTCAATAAAAAGGTAACAATTTAAATAAAATAAATACTAAGTAATTGGGGCACTTTGTGCCATATTCACACTGTCAGATCATTAAGTCACAATTCAATATTTCATTTTCATCACAGAAGCTAGCGTGGTTTTTAAGCTTTTTATGTGTCTGATGGACCCTTTATCAGCCTGGTGAAGCTTATGGACCCCTTCTGAGAATAAGGTGTTTAAATGTATGAAATAAAATACATAGGATTACAAAGGAAAACAAATTATATTGGAATAAAGATATCTTTTTTTCCCCATTCAAGTTCCTTAATTTCCTGAAATCTACTCTCAAGGGATTCCTAGACCCCAGGTTAAGAACCCCAGCTTTAAAGTTCCATTAACAACTTACTCCATTAAACAAAAATAAGCTACTTCATTCTCTTTGAGGTTGGGGAGAGGGAAGGAAGTTGGAGTGGAGAAGTGCTGGACTTGTGATTTCATCAATGTAAGAGACCATATGATACAGAAGCTATTTCAACCCATGCAAATAAGTAATATTTCCATAGCACTTACCTTCTTAGAGGACACCATAAGGCTACCATTACTTGTCTATGGTTACACATCTATTATTTGGCAGAGGCAGGACTTGAACCCAGGTCTTCCTGACTCTAAGGCTGATGTAGTGAAGCCATGTTATCTGTTTAATTCAACAAAAATCACTGCCATGAAAAATGGGAGGCCAGTGAGCTAGAGCCTCTTGCACTGTTCAACAAAATCTAGCAAACTCCATTTCTGTGGCAAAGACTGCTTTGCTTTCAGATATGTGAAAGCAAGGTAATAGTGAGCAAGGGTTATGCACCACCAACCTGTTTCATCCAGGCCTCATATACAGTGTTAATGACTTTATACTCAAAGTAATAAACTATTTGAAAGTTGCTCAGACTCCTGCAAGTTAAGGAAAGTTAATATGGATAAGATCTTCTGTAGATTATACAAATAGCACATGATTAGGTATCTGTGATACAAATTCATTTTCTTACAAATGCTACCACAAACTAGACAAATGTGAACACCTATTTCTGAAACTTTTGTTCAGTCAGCTAGGCTTCCTAAAATAATATCACAATTAAGATGTCTTCTTTGATAGGATTTGAATGTAATTCAATTTTAAATGTCTGCTGAGCACCTACTATTGCTTCTTGGGGGGGGGGTGAGGGCAGGGCAATGAGGGGTAAGTGACTTGCCCAGGGTCATACAAATAGTAAGTGTCAAGTGTCTGAGGCCAGATTTAAACTCACGTCCTCCTAACTATAGGGCCAGTGCTCTATCCACTGTGCTACTTAGCTGTCTCCCACCCTTTTTCTATCCACTGTGCTACTTAGCTGTCGCCCACCCTTTTTCTTTTATCTTAATACAAGTATCTTAATGTGCTTTTCTATTCTTAATTGATATAAAGGGATATCATGAATATATCATCAATATCTATTTCATGGCATGTGAGACTGAATAAATTGATTTTATTTGGTGGGTAAAGTGTTTTCTCATTTAGAAAGCTTATGACTTGTATTAAAATTTTTTATAAAGGACATACCTTCTAAAGATATTGCTATTTTTAGGGATAAAAAATTCTCTTTTTTTGAGAGATTTTCTTAATATATTATTTTCATTTCTAATTTAAAATGTTATCATACATGCATAAATATAACTGTAAACCACCAAATAGAAACTAAATGTACAGTACTGAAGGACTGTTAACAAATCCAGGAATTAATATTTAGCTCATACTTCTATTATAAAGGATTACAATTAGTACGCTTAAATAAAATCCTATCTATTAATTAGAGGTAGAAGGGCAGCTAGGTGTCACAGTAGATAGGGCACTGGACTTGGAACCAGGAAGACTCATTATCATGAGTTTAAATCTAGCCTTTAGACACTTACTAGCTATGTGACCCTGAGCAAGTCACTTAGCCCTGTTTGACTCAGTTCCTCATCTGTCAAATGAACTGGAGAAGGAAATGACAAACCACTCCAGTTTTGCCAAGAAAACCTCAAATGGGGTCATGAAAAATACAACTCAGCAACAACAAATTATAGGTAGCAGTAAGTCAAAATATCAACAGCATTAGTGTTTACTACAAAATAAAAAAAAATTAAAACACATTATCATTCATTTAAAGGTATTATTAACGATACTTATGACAGGATTGACAGAAAATCCTAGATCAAATACACAAATCAAGGATATATTTGTATTTAAGAAATAAATATATGTAGAGAAATGCAGACTTTCCCAAACTGAACATTATGGTCTATAATTAAGTAGAGCCAAAAAAGTTAAACCATGTTTCACACTAAATTGCATCACCACAGGTTTCATAACCTGATTGGTAGACTATGATTCCATCTTTGTGGAAGCATCCCAACATTTCAATATGCTAATGCTTCTTAAACTTCTCTACTAGATTTTTCTTAAGGATGGTATCGCTGTTTAGTTTTTCAGTCACATCTGACTCTTCATGACCCTGTGTACCATACTATCCATGGGGTTTTCTCAGCAAAGATACTGGAGTGGTTTGCCATTTCCTTCTCCAGTACAATATGACAGAGGTTAAGTGCCTTGCCCAGGGTCACATAACCACTAAGTGATTGAGGCCATTTCTGAACCCAGTTCTTCTTGATACTAGCAGCAACACTCTTATCTACTGAGCCATCTAGCTGCCAAGGATGGCATTACCTTCATCTTGATTTAATCAAATTGTTGGATGGCAGCCTACTAATTTTACAGTGGAAGAAGCCATCTTATAACTATGTAAGCAGTACACAAGCATGCATCTGTGCATTTTGGAAGAGAAGAAGTCTGATTCACATTAAGGCCTGTACTCAGCACAATGGACACCAATTTTCCAAGAGAGTTATGCCTTTGAGTGGATGACTCTCCCCTTTCATTACTGTCATCACAGATTATATACCTTTTCAATCTGTAAGAGTTCCAGATTATATTTTCTAGCTTTATGTCATACTTTTCCTAGTTATGTATACTCAATACTCAAGCCAAATAATAAGACCTTTCATTTCCCATTCTCATAATGCCATTTCCCACATCTATGCCTTTGCTTAGGTCAGCCTAGAATGTACTTTTCTCCCTTTCTTCTCCAGCTCCATCAGTTGGTGCCTTCCATTCAAAGCCCAACTTGAGATGCTACCTCTTCAATGCACCCCACCATTGAAAAGTATTCTCTCGCTCAAATTTCTCATAGAACTCCACTCAGATCCCTCCTTTACTCTTCTCACTCTCAAATACATCACAATTATGTGCAGATTTGTCCTTTCATTAGTAAATAAGATTCTCTTGATCCAGAACCAGAGGAGTATATCTATCTGAGAGCCTATCACAGGGTCTAGCAAATAACAGGGCCAGAACTGGTTGAATTGAATGGATTCTGTTCTGCATTTCTAAATATGCTATATACATATATACATAATATATATATATATATATATAGGCTTGAAGCTGGAAAACATCAATTGCTGAGAAAAATCTCCACCCCAGGTTGCAATTAAAGCTCCTTGAGTCATTTGTTTATACTTTTTGTATACAAGTACTACACACAAGATACTATGCTAGGCACTAAGGGTAGATAACAAAGTTTCACATTTATAGAGCTGATGATAGTGAGGCTTTTTATAAAACATTAAGTTTATGAATATTTATCTGCCTTAAGTAAAAGCTCCAAATAAGCCTAATTTAAGCACATTTGTTCACTTATGAACAGTCATAGCTTTAAAGATGAAAGAAACTTTAGAAAGCCTCATTTTACAGATGAGGAAACTGAGGCTTTGCGACATTAAGGGACTTGTTCAAGGTCTCAGAGGTAGTAAATTGCAGAGCTTCTTTATGTCCTAAACAGGGTATTAAAATTATCCTTTCATTTCTAGCTCCCTAAAGATACTTTCATTTGACTCTGCCTCAGAAAAGAAAGGACAAGGTTCACTATTAGCTTTGAGAATGAAAGAAGATTTAGGTTAATGTCCGACCTAAACTTGAACCTTATTCAGCTTGCCAGTTAGTCAACAAGCATTTATTAAACACCTACTATGTCCCAGTTAAATGTGAGGGATACAAAAAAGGTAAAAGATAGTTCCTGCTTTCAAAAGCATCTCCACATTGTAACAAATGCATTTTTCATTAAAACTCTATTAGCTTTTATGAAAGAAAAAAAACCCACTATATTCAAACTTTTTCAAATTTATTCTGCCTTTGCAGTCTGTATGTTTGGTTTTTCTAGTACATCTATACATGTATAAATGTAGCTATATTCCTATGTATCATATACACACATGCAGATATATCTTCATGCATGTATATATGTGCATACATATGTGTACATGCATGCATATACATGTGTATATACAAACATATATACACATATATCCCTGTATATAGGTATATGTATACATATACTCCAAAGAAAATGCAAGAACACATAATTGGAACAATTTCCACTGAACTCTCAGTTTCTGGTAGACTATGAGGCCAGGAACTATCTTTTTTTTTCTTCCATTTTTGTACTTTCAGTGCATTGCACAAGGATTTTCATAAAATCAACACTTAATGAATGCTTATTGAATTGTTAAAGTCAATGGGTTTCACAATTCCATTACAGCCCATTAGAAGTTGTAATGAACGAAAGTATCTACAGTACTGTGTTATTAAGATACTGTAATAGGTTACCAGAGAGATGCAAATTCACCTTCTCTATATGACTTTTAAAATGAATTTTTATTTTGTCGAGGGTTTGGTTTGGATTGTTCCTAAACACAGGGAAATGAATTAGATGGCACCAAAACCTTTTTTCAGCCTCATGATTTATAATTTGGGAACAGTGATTATTTTCCACGAAAAATCTTAATTTTTCCATTTTGTGTATGTGTGGGTTTAATGTCTTTTAGGCATACCAATTAGAGGAGAACAAGGTCTTCCTGGACCACCAGGCCCCACAGGCCCCCCGTGGACAGCCCGGACCTTCTGGACCTCCAGGAAAGCCAGGCTATGGAAGCCCAGGGCCTCAAGGACAGCCAGGTATGCCAGGACCACCAGGACTGTCTGCAGTTGGGAAACCAGGCTTGCCAGGTCTCCCAGGAAAGCCAGGTGACAGAGGACCATATGGAGAGAAAGGAGACGTTGGACCTGCTGGTTTACCAGGGCCAAGAGGCCCGCCAGGACCTCCTGGAATTCCTGGCCCCGCTGGCCTATCTGTTCCAGGCAAACCAGGACCACAGGGGCCAACAGGGGCCCCAGGACCAAGGGGTCTTCCTGGAGAAAAAGGTGTACCAGGCATCCCTGGTATGAATGGACAAAAGGGGGAAAATGGATATGGAATTCCTGGAAGACCAGGTGAGAGAGGTCATCCAGGTCCACAGGGTCCCATGGGACCTCCAGGGCTTGCTGGAGTAGGGAAAAGAGGAGAAAATGGATTTCCAGGACAGCCTGGTGCTAAAGGAGATAGAGGTTTCCCAGGGGAAACAGGCCCACCTGGCCTACCAGGTCCCCAAGGTCCTCGTGGAGAACCTGGAGCAGCAGGAATAGGAAAGCCGGGAGTCAATGGGGCACCAGGATTGCCCGGGGACACCTGGAACCAAAGGTCTTCCAGGAGCTCCAGGAATAGCAGGGATGCCAGGTGCACCTGGATTTGGTAAACCAGGTTTACCAGGGATGAAAGGGCAGAGGGGACCTGAAGGCCTTCCAGGGGCTCCAGGAGTCAAAGGGGAACAAGGCCCAGCAGGTCACCCAGGGGAACCAGGTTTGGATGGGCCCCCAGGACGCATGGGACCACAAGGACCAAAAGGAATACCAGGTAACAATGGCATTCCTGGTTCTAAAGGGGAGGCAGGACCAACAGGCCCTACAGGGTTCCCAGGGGCCAAGGGAGATAGAGGCCTACCAGGGTTAGAAGGAAAACCAGGCTACCCAGGAGAACCAGGTCTCAATGGTCCCAAGGGCAACGCAGGTTTGCCAGGCCCAAAAGGGGACACCGGATTGGGGGGTCCTCCTGGTTTACCAGGCCCTGCAGGAGCAGCTGGTGCTAAGGGCATACCAGGACACAATGGTGAGCCAGGTCCTAGGGGCGCCCCTGGAATACCAGGAACAAGAGGCCCAGTTGGGCCACCAGGAATTCCAGGATTCCCTGGGACTAAAGGAGACCCAGGAAGTCCAGGCCTGCCTGGCCCGGCTGGTATTGCAACTAAAGGACTCAATGGACCAATGGGGCCACCAGGGCTACCAGGTCCAAGAGGCCATGACGGAGAGCCTGGACGCCCAGGGCCCCCAGGACCTCCAGGCCCACCAGGTCAAGCAGTCATGCCAGAGGGCTTTATAAAAGCTGGACAAAGGCCAAGCTTATCAGGGACACCTCTAGTAAGTGCAAATCAGGGTGTAACAGGAATGCCTGTGTCGGCTTTCACAGTTATTCTCTCCAAAGCCTACCCAGCAATAGGCACTCCAATTCCATTTGACAAAATCGTCTATAACAGGCAACAGCACTATGATCCAAGAACTGGGATTTTCACCTGTAGGATACCAGGTCTGTACTATTTCTCCTACCACGTACACGTGAAAGGGAATCACGTGTGGGTAGGCTTGTATAAGAATGGCGCCCCCGTGATGTACACCTATGATGAGTACACAAAAGGGTACTTAGATCAGGCTTCAGGGAGCACTGTCATAGATCTCACAGAAAACGATCAAGTGTGGCTGCAGCTACCAAACGCAGAATCCAATGGTTTGTATTCTTCTGAGTACGTTCATTCATCTTTCTCAGGATTTTTATTTGCCTTACCATAAAGACAGCCTGCATAGCTAGTCTACACTGTCTGCTTGAAAAATGGTCTGTAATGAGATGTTTACCTAGAAATCACTCCCTTCCAACAGCTGAAACATCGGAAAAATTGACTACTTTTCAAATGTCTGGGAAATGGAAATTTACCATGAGAAACACAAGCTAAAAAATAATACAGTAAATTGCATATGAAGAGCGCTCTCATTTTAAGGACTTCTAGTAATTATGTCTAAGATACCCTAATGTTTTCTGTGAAATCACGCGATATTGTGAAATTTCACTCTGCCTGTACTGTAATTCACTAAAAGGAAGAAACACAGCTTCACCACAGAATCATCTTTTAGAGATAAGAAGTTTCTAGAATGAAAGTAGATGAATTTACATAATAGCCTCCAGGAGATTATTTTAACCATCAGAAACTGCTGAATTTACCCGAATCTTTTACATAAAATTCTTAACAGCATACAGAAATGTAATTTTAGAATTTTCAAGCTAGAAATATAGCTAATTTAAGTGCACTTTTTTTTTACACAATGTGGATATTTCTTACCTGTTTAAAAGTAAATTAAACAAAAACTTCAAATTTTAAAGAACACTTTTAAAGCCCACACTGAAACTGTTTTGATCTTAAATATATAAAACAATCTATACAATTTATCTTAAAAGTGAAATATATGCCAACATCCAAATCATATTTGAAAAAAGAAGAGCTGGCTCTTTGATTGGCGGCTTTACAAAAAAAAAAATTAATGCCAAAAAAACCTAACCCAAACACAAGGACAAGAGTCTTAAAAGAAAAAAGATTTTTAGTCTAAGATTTGATTTCATAAAATTGACAATATCTTTCAAAACATGCCAAAATCTAACCACTAACATTAGCACATTTTGGAGACATTTAGAAAAAGGTACTGTATCGCTAGTAAACTTGAACACACACATTTGAAAGGTGCTGTACCCTACAGCACTTTCTGATGCTGCATTCTGAGAAGGATGTGTTCAAATATGTTTCCCTACAATGGTGCTTTTATAAATAACAAAGTAAAAGTATTCTAGCCAGATTAAAAAACAAAAAACAAAACACCCTATTACGTTAAACCATATCTGCTATACAAGGTGCTTATTCTTCAACCACCTCAAAAATTCATTTGCTAACTGAAAAGTCTTCTTAGTTGCTACCTTCAAAGTATGGAAAGATGTCCTGTGACAAGATGACCCTCTCAAGTTAGAATGTGAAATGGTGGCATTTCCTTTCAATTCATTTACTTAAGGCATTTGGTGCAGATGAAAGCTGTGTGCAATCAGTTGGTTCACATGATGATTACTGTTTCCGTCATTGGAAAGTACCTTTCATTACTGGCTTTATTATGTGAAATGTTTTGTTCATTGGATACTTTTTTACAAATGAAATTTCTTAAGTATTTACAGTACATTAGTCTATTGCATGTCTTCCATTTCCATCAATTTCAGTGGAATTACAACTAGCATCAAAGGCTTCAACAGTCTAAATAGAGATTATTTATATTCTGTGTTACATTTGTATATTGCTGTTTCAAAAATCCCATGACAAGTCTGAATCTTTTGAAAGCACAAATGTTTTCACCTACTCTTTAATTATATTACAACAAAACCAAGGAAATGGATTTTTAGGTCAAATTCATCTGAAACCAGCATATTTGCTATTCTAAAGTGTTCTTTTGATGCTTTTTGTTTTTCAAAGTTAAAAGAATGTAAACCAATAAACTGGTGGATATCTTTAAAAGCTGACGTGGGACTTGCTTCTTTATTGATACTCATCTGTTATCACAAGGCTGTTATCACAGAATGATAACAAACAAAACAATTAGTCAATTAAACAAGTAACAAATAAAAGCAATTAGCCAATTAAAAAGTGTCATCAACTATAATAAAAGATGAAGTCCTGAGCCACACTGTTGCTGAGAAATTAACACTCAAATGCCCACAAGTAGGTGCAAAGAAGTCAGCCTTCCCACCCCACCTCCCAAAAAACTTCTATCAGCTCAAGTTACCAAGAGTAGTAGCCTAGCAAATTCAAAAGTAATACATGACAGAGTCACTAAAAGTAGAAAAACACTCAAACTCAGAAAAGTGGCAAAAGTATAGCTCCCAGCTTATATCATTTTCATTCCTGATAGCCTATCACAAAATTAGGAAAAACAATAATTTTTTAAAAGTAGATAACTGTCATTCTGTGGGTATAGGTAAAGGCTGGCAGACCCTTGACCTGGACAGTTCAAAACACCTGGGTTAACATTCAATTCATTACCTTCAGGTATTACTGCCCTTGTCGTGGGTCAGCCAACCTTGTTTCTCAAACAAGAGTGGTTGATTTCTCATAAGCAGGCACCTTCCCAGAGCCTGCCCTGGTACTGAACTAGATGTATATGCCCATGCCAACAGGCACAACAATCCTCAATCTGATGCTCTGGCCAGGGAATATCAGAATCAAGGCCCTCACCCTAGGGAGCGCCCAGGCAACATAAGTTACTCAAAATACGCTAGGAGGACTGAGAAAATAGCAATTATTATGATAACACATACTTCAGTTCACAAAAAGATTAACCAAGAACTGTAATACAAAATATAATATTTAAATAACGACAATCTAATTAAGAGAAAAAATTGAAAAAGTAACTTCTAACTAATTCACCAAAACTTTGGATAACATTCCAAGAAACTCACCTTTAAAAGCTGTTATTTTATAATTATAGTGTATACTAGCAAGAACATCCTTCCAAAAATCAAATGTTGACTGGTTACCTTCCTGTAGGGGACCGAAAAGAAGAACAAAATCAAAAACAAATTGGTATCCTAATTTGTGTATACAGAAAAAAAAAGTGCTTATGCAAATAACTGTAATTCTCTGTCCTGCAACAGAGACATGGATATTTTAAAACAATAATCTTTCCCATCAATTGGGCCATTAGCAGAAAGTTGCCAATTACCAATCAAAAGCAGATGGTAAAAAACAGACACCTTTGTATTTCACTGGTTGAGCTGTTAATTGGCCTAAATATTCTAGAAAGCAATTTGGAACAATGGGAGGAAAATGACTAAGTGACTCTTTCACCCTCAGGTTGCATTGTGAATCAGGAACAAGTACATCCCAAGTAGGTCAATGATAAAAAGAAACATCAGAAAATGTTGATAGCAGCACTTTGTATAGTAGCAAAGAGCTGGAGACAAAGTAGATGCCCGCAGATTGGGTAATGGGCAAATAATTTAAGGCATGTTAATGTGACAGAAATCAATCCATCAATAAGCATTTATGAAGTGCTTAATATGTGAAAGGAACTGTGCTAAGTGCCAGAGATAAAAGGAAAAAAATGAAATAATGACCTAAAAAAAAAAAAAAGAATGACCTTACATTCTAACTGGGGAAACAGAATGTATGTGTATATGTGTTTGTGTGGATATATACATACATGCACACATAAGTTAAATAAAATGAACACAAAGTAGTTTGGCTCCTTATATAGCTGGTGGGACTAGGAAAGGCTTTATAAAGAAGGTGGAATTTGAGATGCGCCTTGATGCATTCCAGGAGGCAGAAGTGAGGAGGCAGAATTTTCCAGGAATGGTGATCGACCAGGAAAATGGGCATGAAGGACACTGATAGAACATCACGTGTGAGGGAAAGCAATTAGGCCACAATGGCTGGAACCCATAACGTGTCAGGAAAAGTAATTTGTAACACCATTGGAAAAGTAAGAAAGGGTCAGGCTGTGAGGAGTTTTAAATACCAGATATATGAGTTCATATTTGATACTTGAGGCAATTGAGTCATTTGACTTTCTTGAGTAAGAGGAGACATGATCAGAACTGTGTTTTGAGAAAATCATTTTGACAGGTAAGTGGAGAAGAAAAGGGAGCAGGGAGAAGCTTGAGGTGGGCAGAACAAAAAGGCTACTCTAACAGTCCAAGCGAGAGGCGACGACGGTCTAAATCCAAGAGTGCTAGCTATGTGTACAGAGGGCATATACATAGGAGAGAAGTTATGGAGACAAAAACAAGATTATTTTGCAACTAAATGGATATATAGAACGAGTGAAAGTGAAGAGTCAAGGATGACACCAAAATTACAAAACCAAGTGACCAGAAGAATGGTGGTACACTCAACACTATTAGGGAATTCAGAAGAGGGTCAAGACTGGTAAGAAGACAATGAAAGTAGATTTGGATATGCCATGGTTGAGATGGGTGGCTATGTGACATTCACTTTGAAGAAGTGCAAAAGGAAGTTTGTGAAGTGCGATGTGAGCCCAGGAGAGAAACCAAGAATGGTCATCTAAAAACCCATGGGAGCACATGAGTACATCATGTGATAGAATGTAGAAGAAAAAAAAAGAAGACCCATGAAAAAGGCTTTGGGCTATATTCAGTTAGTGGGAATAATAATGGGTGGTGATCAAGGAAAAGAGACTGAGAAGAAGCATGGGCTGGAAAAGAACCTGAGAAAGTAACACCATGAAAACCCAGAGAAAATATGGTACAAAGAAAGAGAAAGCGATTAACAGCATCAAATCCTGCAGAGTTCAAAAAGGATAAGGACACAAAAAAAGGCCATTTGAATTGGCAATCAGAGATCATAAGTAACTTTGGAGAGAGAAATTTCAGAGTGATAAGGCGGAAAGCCAGATTGCAGGGGGTAAAGAACAAAGAGAAGAGGAAACTGAGGCACCAAAAAGACATATTTTTCAAGGACTCTGGCTGAGAAAGAGAGGAAAGATATAAGGATTTAGTGATGGGGTTTTTTTTTCTTTTATAATGAGGGAGAACTTGGGCATGTCTGTAGATAGCAAGGAAGAAAATCTGTATAAGGAGAGATTAAAGGTATGAGGGTGGGGAGGATAGAAGAGGCAATCTGCTACAGAATATGGTAGGTAATGGGATCAAGGGTGCATAGAGAGGGTTTGGTCTTGGCGAGGAGAAAGGTCAACTCTTTCCATCAAAGTGGAATAAAAGAAGAAATAATGGGGGATGATGTCAGGAGGTTGTGAAATGAGATGGTTGAATAAATTATGGTATTTGAATGTAATAAAATATTGTTGCTTCATAAGAAATAAAGAATGGCTGCGATTCAGAGAAACCTGTGAAGGCTTGTATAAATTGATGCAGAGAGGAGTGAACACAAGAACAATTTATAAAATGACTACAATATTGTAAGGAAAACAATTTTTAAGAAAATCCAGAGGTTTGACGAAGCATGCTTTTCACCTTAACAGACAGTTACAGAATTGGACAGATCACAAACTCTTCTCATTATCCACATTTATGAAAAGTATATCCTTGCCTTCTCTAATTTGTTTCTACCTAGGTCAGGTATCCATTTGGAACTTATTATAGTAGACAGTATTAGAGGTTAGCCTAGGCCTAATTTGTTCCAGATTGCCTTCCAATTTTCCCAGCAGGTTTTGTTGAATACTCTAGTAGCTAGTGTCCTAGGGTTTAGAGAACACTAGGCAAGGAGGCTAATGGGCTCTCTGTAACCTTTTAAAGATTATTTACAGTGGTTCAACAATCACACCAGCCATTTCTTTCAGTCCCCTGACATGTAATTCATCCAGGGTTGGTAACATTAACTCTTCAAGGACAGGTAAGGGTTTTATTTTTTTAATCTCTTTATCTTGAATTTCAGGTCCCTTACACCAATTTTTTTTCCTTTACTTTTCTTTCCAATTCAAAGATGATTTTCCACAGAAGAAAAAGCAGAAGTGAAACAAGATTTGATTTCAAAGTGCTGCTATAAAAATTTCAAAACAAAATTGATTTCAAATATCTTCATTTGCTCTTCAGCTCCCATTTGTGTGTTAATCTTCCCCCAAAAGAATGTAAACTCCTTACACACAAACATAAAAACAAAGATCAGGACTAGAATTTGTTAGGGAAAGTATATGTCTATGTATGTGTGTGCCTCTTGCCGCAGAAGTTGGAGAGGAAGGGGAGAAGTAAAAAGTTTGCAGCAGGAAGTAAAAGAAAACTTACAAGGAAGCAAAGATGGACAGTTTTCAACACAAGAAGCAGCATTTATTATATAGGCTTTCTTGAAATGGAAATTTATTGCTATATATTTTGAATCCTTTATTATGTTCCACTGTGCATAGGACATGCTTTTTTTTCTTTTCTTATTTTGTATTTAAGTTTATATGCTTCTTTTTCTTTTTTTCTATTGTGTATTTAAGTTTTAGTATTTAAGTCTAAAATTTTTTTAAAAATAAAAAAAAGAACAGAAACTCCTAGAGGGCAGGGATTATCTTTATGCTTGTCTGGACATTCCCAGGGCTAAGCAGAGTTCTTGGCACATGGTAAATACTCAAATGCTGTTTTCTTTTTTTCCTTCTTTCTTTCTTTCCTTCTTTCCCTCCCTTTCTCCTCCTTCCTTCTTCCTCCCTTTCTCCCTGTTGTTCTCTCCTTCCTTCCTTCCTCCCTTTCTCCCACTCACTATTTCCTTCCTTGCTGTTATCTCATATCTGCCCTAAGGTAATGGCCTTATCCCTTCTTTGATCAACATTTTTCTACAGAATAATTTTTTTAAGCACTTTGGCTTATATTTAGCTTTCCTTCTGGCTTAAGATTCAGTGCTCCTGACTTTATTCTTAGATGTGTTGTCACACCCATGTATTCATCTCCTATTAAGCAGTCTTACTTCTATCTTCTAATTTTTTTAAAAAATGTTATCATGGTAAAAAAAAAATAGACAATGATTTCCTTTTGCATTCA